CTTTTTAGATGTAAGAAAGAGACCAACTGGCATTAGCTAGCCCCTGCCTAACAAAGGAAGTTTACTGTAAAGGCTCACATTGAAAGAAAAAAGGACTGGTATCACAGTAAAATCTGGTTTTATGGACATTGAAGCTGAATGGTGGTTGGGTTTCAAGTTATCCAGAGTCAATAGATGTTGATTCCATTGGTCCCCAGTCTGCATAATTCTGCTACTTCCTTCAGTTTCACTTTGAGCAAGCTTCTTCGTAGTTTCTGCCTGCCATGGTTTTGCACAGGGTCCTCTAGCAAATTCTTAGTTCAAATCTCCAAGAAAGAATATGATTGTCTCAATGCCTCTTTTTGTGTCAGTCAGAGGTGGAGAAGCAGGCTATGGACTGGTTCCTAAAATCAGGTGCCCATGTCTAGTCCAGTCATTTTTACCTGATTGGGCCTGTCTGGCCAGACATGGTCATCAAGGCAGCAGAGGCTCCTGATGGAGCAGTTAGGCATGATAGGTGGTTCTAGCTAATACAATTGCAGGTAGGTCACTAATAAGGAAAAATGGGCCCAGCACTTACCTAGGTACATTTTGGGGTGGAAACATTGTAACAAAACTGTTAAAAACAAAAAAACAAAAACCTCTAATCATTTTGTTGCTTGTTCAGATTCTGCCAAATGCACCCTCATAGATTTGGAGCTGGAGCTCTGTATATAAAATAGAAACATAATTCACATAATTATGGATTTTTTTTTCTTGAAAGGAAGACTGCTCATAGTTAGCCATTGATCCAGTAGTATTGACCCATCATTGTAATGTGAGGAGGCAATCACTGGCAGAGAAGCTCCTTAGTAACTCAAACCTTCAGTGTCGCAATTTTTGCCTTAATAATTATTGTCAAGTTTATAAATAATCCCTATAAGTGAAACAAGCAAAAGTTTTACTTTGGTTTATTAAAGTCTTTAGTTGCGGTAAACCTTATTTATGTGTATAAATTATTCAAATGCCTGGAAATGCTGAGTTATGAATCATATTGCATTCAAATGTCTGTAAGACTTTTGTTTCATATTAAAAGCATTTTATTAAGGAATTAATTGTGCTATACTTATTTCAGGAGTTATATTCAAGAAGTAAATTTAATTTGAAGTACATTTAGAAATGTAACAGATTATGTAAAGTAAGTAATTTTCAAGTTAAAATTTACTATAATTTCCTACCACATAATGATTACAGGTTATAGCCATCCTAGGTGTGTTAAGATACCACGTCTGTCCTTTAGGCTCAAGTTGTTCATTTCAACCATGGTTACTTGGGCACTATAGAATCTGGAGTTATGGTAAAGTATGCACTGTTATTTTATTTGCAGCATTAATATGTTTTAAAGGATTACTACATGGTTATTTCTCCTATAAACGTCACTAAATTTTTTAAACTTCCTTAATTACTTTCTAAATGTGAGTTGGATATTTATTTGGGTAAATTAAGTTCTTTTTAAATTTTTTTTAATGCTTCTAGGATTTTTGGTCACTTGAGATGTAGGAGAGATCCCTGAGAGAAATAATAATATTCCTACTAATTTATACAAGTGAAGGTTCAAGTAATTAATTTGAATTTTAAAAGATGTAACATCACTTGTATTTCAAACAGTCTTACCTGCTTATAAATAAATAAAACTAAACAATGGTTTAAATACACGTAAGTAAAAAACAATTATGGAAATAAAAAGTATTAGTAGAAGGTCAAACACTGAGGAAAAATAATGGAATTATCTATTCACAACGGTTTATATGGTTTATATAACTGCTAGACCTGAATCTCAAATTTAGTTCTAGGATTTCTGTCAGCCAAACTGAAGAGTAAAAACAGAATAGTTTACAAGATAGAAGAAATATATCAGCTCCTCAGTAGAAACTAAGATCTTTGCCTTACATTAACATTTTTAAACATTTTAATTGATAAATATAACATGTGTGTAGAAAGTGAACAAAATGTACAGCTCGGTAGAGTATCACAAAACAAATACTTTTGTAATTAACAACTAGAACATGAAAATAAAGCCAATAAATACATGAAATTCTCTCCTCCCTCTGTCCACTTCTAATCACTGTCCCTTCCCCCTCCCAAAGGTAACTATTATCCTGACTTTTGTGGTAATCATTCCTAGATTTTTCTTTATCGTTTTAACACTAAAGCTTACATCTCTATACAATATAGTAGAATTTTGCCTGAGGGAATTTATATGGGATTATTTAATACTATGGAGGAAGGTTGGGAGGTCTAGCCTTTTTTGCTCAACTTTGTGAGATTTATCCATGTTGTTGCACAGAGTTGTAGTTTTCATTTTCATTGCTATTTTGTTGTGTGAATATAGTTCAATATATTTATCATTCTACTATCAAAAAGCATTTGGTCCGCTTACAGTATGAAGTAATTTTGAATTGAATTTTACTGCTAAAAGCATTTTTTATTTTTTTATTTTTTATTTTTCTTTTCTTTTCTTTTTTCTTTGTTTTTTTTCTGTTGCCCAGGCTGGAATGCAGTGGCACAGTCATGACTCACAGCAGCTCAACTCCTGGGCTCAAGTGATTCTCCTTCCTAGCAGCTAGGACTACAGCCATGCACCAAAATGCCCAGCTAATTTTTTCTATTTTTTGTAGAGATGGGTTTTCGCCATGTTGCCCAGGCTGGTCTCAAACTCGTGGGCTCAAGCAATCCACCTGCCTCGGCTTCTCAAAGTGCTGGGATTACAGGCATAAGCCACTGCATCCCACCAAAGCATTTTTATAAACTGCATCTTGATGAACAAGTCCACGCATTTAAACAGAGAATATTCCTCAGAGTGGGACTGCTAGATCAAAAACTGTTTTTGAAAGTGGTTGTGCCAAATTATACTCTCACCAGCAGTACATGACAGCTTTCATTGGTGTACTTACCTATATTGTCAGTCTTTTTAACTTTAGCCATTCTGATATGGTTTTCATTTGTATTTTCTTGATTACAAATGAATCTGATTTTTCCATAAGTTTGTTGATAATATTTTATCTTGTGAAGATCCTGCTCAAGTGTCTTATCCACTTTGGGTTTTGATGGTCAATCATTTCCTTAGTGATTTGTATCAGTTCTTCATATAACCTATATACGGGCTCTTAAATGTATCTTATAAATATTTTCTCCCAATTTGTGCCTTGCCCTGCATTCTCTTTAATGTTGTTTTTCAATGGACAGAAGTTCTCAAATTATTAATTTTATGTAGTCACATTTGTAATTATGCCTGGTGATCTTTGTTTTATTTCAAATACATTCTCTGTCATGAAAACAATTTATACCTCCTAAAACATTATTTTATCTTTTCCAATTAAATTTATAATGAATATATATGCACCTGATTTGGGGATAAAGTTTTAGGTAAAAGTCATGTTTCTTTCTTTTTCTACGTGATTATCAAATAGACCGAGCACTATTTAATTTCAAAAGTCCTTTTACCATTGTTCAGGAGGGTCACCTTTGTCTTAAATCGTGTCCATTTATATGGAATTCTGTTCCTGTGCTATCCCGTTTCTTTCATCTTTGTCCTGTCACCATCGTAACAGTCTTAATTACCATAACTTTACATAAGTCTTGATACCTGGTAGGTATCCACCCTCATTATTCTTCGAGAGATCTTCAAGAGTTTATTGATATTTTTGGTCCTTTGCATTTTCATATAAATTTTAGAAAAAACTTGTCATGTTACACACACACACACACACACACACACACACACACACACAGGGCCTTCGTATGTATTTATGTTGAATCTATAGGTCAGTTTGGAAATAGCTGACATTGTAACATATTGAGTCTCACAACCTATGAGTATAGTATAACCATTTATTTAGGTCTTCATTTTCTTTCAAAAAAAAATTTTCTTTTTTTGAGACAGAGTCTTGCTCTATTGCCCAGGCTGGAGTGCAGTGGCATAATGTCGGCTCACTGCAACCTCCACCTCCCACGTTCAAGCAATTCTCTGCCTCAGCTCCCGAGTAACTGGGATTACAGGCACCCGCCACAACGCCTGGCTAATTTTTGTATTTGTTTTATTTATTTATTTATTTATTTATATAAACGAAGTCTCCCTCTGTTGCCTAGGCTGGAGTGCAGTTGCGCCATCTCGGCTCACTGCAAGTGCGGTGGCGCAATCTCAGTTCACTGCAACTTCCGCCTCCCGGGTTCAAGCAATTCTCCTGCCTCGGCCTCCCCAGTAGCTGGGACCACAGACACATGCCACCAGGCCCAGCTAAATTTTTTGTATTTTTAGTGGAGACGGGGTTTCACCATGCTGGCCAGGCTGGTCTTGAACTCCTAACCTCGTGATCTGTCTGCCTTGGCCTCCCAAAGTGCTGGGATTACAGGCGTGAGCTATTGCGCCTGATCTCAAAAATGTTTTATAGTTCTCACTGTAGGAAGGACAATCTTTAACTTATTCCTAGTTACTTGCTATCTCATGTACTATTATAAATAGTATCTCTTTAAAACTTGAATTTTATATTTGTTGCCAATCTAGTGAAACACATTGACCTTTGAATATTGACTTTGTATCCAGCAACTCTTAATTTAGTAATTTTTTCTACTTTCTTTTGGATTTTTCTATGCACATACCATCTATGAAAAATTAGCTATATTTCCTTTTCTTGACAAATTCGAAGACCCTCAATAATCTGAATCTGACTAACGTGCAATTTTCATTATACATTCAATAAAAAGCTGCTAGTGTATTCAATCTCCTTTCCATCTCACAAGCTCCCACTCTCAGTTTACGCTGACCTGACTACTACCCCTGCAATCCCCACCAGTCTAGAGGAATTTGAGCCCAGACGCTCCTCCAGAGCAGCCTCGGGTCCCGGCTGCGGAAGTGCGCACGCCCTCGGCACCTTAACAGCTCCCCCCGTCTCCGGGACCCAGCCAATCAGCGGCCGCCTCTTGCGCGCCCCACCGGTCAAAATGGCGGCTGCCGTTGTTGCGGAGTCCGGTTTGTAGTGCTGTTGCCCTACTCATCCCTTTCCAAAATGTGAAAGAAGAAACGGCTGGTGGAGGCGGGCCATAGGCAATGAGTCGGCGACGGAAACATGATGACAGCCCTAGCCCGAAGAAAACGCCGCACAAAACCGTGGCGGCTGAGGAATGCGGCTCGGTGGTCGAGCCAGGGAGGAGGCGGCTGAGGTCGGCCCGCGGTTCGTGGCCCTGCGGGGCTAGAGAGGGGCCTCCCGGGCCAGTGCGGCAGCGAGAGCAGCCTCCAACAGCCGCCTTGTGCAGTAAAAGTAACCCCGAGGGTGAGACGTCGGCAGCGCGGCCTGCCTTGGCTTCGGCGCCGCATCCCCACAGCCCGGCTTACAACAGGGAAATCTGGGGTGGGGGTGGAGTCTGGAGTGTGTATTGTGTCTCTGGGATTCACCCCTCGAGAGTCCAAAAATACTCCCATACCACTCCCCGATGGGCTTCTGTCCCCCAGCTTGAGCACTACCCCGTTAGGTTTGACCATCCACTTGCCTCCGCCACAGGAATAGGTTATGTGGTTTACCTGTTTGCGGGAGGGCGGCTGCTTTCCAGGCTGCTCCTCGGGTCAGCAGCGGTGGCGGAGCGAGGAGGAAGAGCTGATAGGCCCGCTAACCTCAGTTTATGTTCGGAGAAATTATTTCTGGTTAAACCTTGTTTCCCCCACGCCCCCCCGCGACCTGCTTTAGAGAAGAGTTCATATGAAAAGTTAAAGTTTGTTTCAAAGCCTGGGCGATGTCTCACCTCATTATGAATAAACCGGAAGTTGCTGTCTGTAACATCCCTCCAAATAAGATACTAAGGATCCCTTTCGTCACTATTAGTTTTGGGTGCACTTTTTGAAAGACTTCTAGTAAATCTTAGTTGGAATTGAAACTCATACAAAAGCCTTTATTCTGGAGCATATTCTTGAAACAGTGCTTTTTTTAACCTTACATGTCTTTTTTTGTTTTTTGGTTTTTTTTGAGAAGGAATCTTGCTCTGTCGCCCAGGCTGGAGTGCAGTGGCACAATCTCGGCTCACTGCAACCTCCGCCTTCGTGGTTCAAGTGATTCTCCTGCCTCAGCCTCCCGAGTAGCTGGGACTGCAGGCGCCCGCCACCTCGCCCGGCTAGTTTTTTGTATTTTTTAGTAGAGACGGGGTTTCACCGTGTTAGCCAGGATAGTCTGGATCTCCTGGCCTTGTGATCCGCCCGTCTTGGCCTCCCAAAGTTCTGGGATTACAAGCGTGAGCCACTGCGCCCGGCCACCTTACATGTCTTTAATACTCCCATAAAGCAATTCCGGAATGAACAAAAATCTTTATAAAAATTTGAAAGTTGGCCAGGCGCAGTGGCTCAAGCCTGTAATCCCAGCACTTTGGGAGGCCGAGGCGGGCGGATCACAAGGTCAGGAGATCGAGACCATCCTGACTAACACGGTGAAACCCCGTCTCTACTAAAAAATACAAAAAACTAGCCGGGCGAGGTGGAGGGCGCCTGTAGTCCCAGCTACTCGGGAGGCTGAGGCAGGAGAATGGCGTGAACCCGGGAGGCGGAGCTTGCAGTGAGCAGAGATGGTGCCACTGCACTCCAGCCTGGGCAACAGAGCGAGACTCTGTCTCAAAAAAAAAAAAAATTGGAAGTTATTCTAGACAAAAATTCCCAAGCATTGGATCACTTACGCTTTTTAAAGAATTGCAATTAATGTAGATTAGAGCTGGTGAAAAGGGGCTAAACATATTTAGGTTTCTGTTGGGTGACTTTGGATTTTTGAATGTACCTATAAATTACAGATAGTTCCTCAAAGCCTCCAGGTCTCAGTGATAATAAATAGAATGACTTAGGTTATACAGTATTGTATTATGCATTCATAGAGCTTCTGGATTATCTAAAAGTGCTTGCTATTTACAATGTCAAGTTTGCGAAGTGCTGCATGGATTTTTATATGAAACCAGCATTTCAGTTATGGTTCAGGTAATTATCTCTGGGAAAAAAAATTATATTGGACTATGAAACTTAGTCTAAGCTGTTATTTGACCCTGGGTTCTTATGAAGTAAGGTACTGCTTTAAAATGCCACAATTGTTATTTTACTCATATTTTATATAGACAGGTATGAAACACCAAAGAGAGTGCTGAAAATGGACTTACTGTCATCTTCCTTCAGTTCTCCTAATGATCCAGATGGACAGAATGATATCTTTTGGGATCAGAATTCTCCATTGACAAAGCAGTTAGGTAATTCATTATTAACATTATTTATGTGAGTAAATGTTTGATAAATTATTCAGATTTAACTAGAATTCTAGTCAGATAATAGCATCAGGAACCTCTGAGAATCTACATGCTTTTATCTGCATAAGTATGTGATGTAAACACACAATGCTCTAAGCTGCACTAATTAAAATTATTTTCTAAGAAGTGACAGCTATTTTTTAAAATTGAGGGTTTTTTGTTTAAAATTTATAGAAATGTCTTGGTTTCTTTTTATTCAGGTAAAGGAAGAAAAAAACAGATTTATACCACAGATAGTGATGAGATTTCACATATTGTTAATCGTATTGCTCCTCAGGTAAATATCACTAGTTTTATAGTTTGTTTTAAAACAGTGAAGAATGTGCCACTAAGTTTTTGTAGTTTCTTTAAATGAAAAGTATTGTCTTTTATAATTCTTTTTTCTAAAAATAAGGCAGCAAAGATTACTATTTTGCCTTTTCTACTTTTGAAATGCATATTTTGAAAAAAGGAACGTAATATAAAATATTATAAGATATTTTCTTAAGTATATATCTTGTTTTAATTTTTTAGAGTAATTTTTGACTAGGGCATTGTGTTTATCTGTAATGTTGTGCTTAACAACATACGGCATTCATTTTTCAAGTTGCTAAAATAATAGAATAAGGCAGTCAAAAAAATTTAAACTTTTAAGATTGTTTTGTGATTGATATTTACTGTCTATAACGTTTCCCCATTGAAACTATTCTTCTTAATACTCATTGACTTATAAGATTATCAAGAAACACTTACAACAGCGGAGAGCACTGAATTCAAATTTAGTCTTCTCCTTCAGCCTCCTGTGCTGTGTGACCCAGTGCAAGTTATTTAAACTCTCACCACCTCAGTTCATTCAGCCGTGAACTAGAATTATTGTGTTCCTCTTGCTGTCTTCATTGGACCATTATGAGGATTAAACTAGATAAAAATTCTTTGTAAACTATAGAGTGCTATAATTGTAAGGTAATGTTAAAGTTGTTACCGTAATAGAACCATCTCCAAAGGTTTTTTTTTTTTCTTGGCCAGGCATGGTGACTCACTCCTATGATCTCAGCATTTTGGGAGGAAGGCTGAGGCCAGGAGAAAGGGGAAGATTGCTTGAGGCCAGGAGTTTAAGACCCCATCTCTGAAAAAAAAATTTTGAGTGTTTCATTTCTTTTTTTCATTTCTGTTCTTGTACTGTTGGAGTGAAATAGAAATATGTTCAAGTCAATCATTTGACACAAAGCAGTCCAATAACTCTAATATTACAATTACTAAGAAGCAAAGGCTTAATACATAAAACTGTTCTGAACTTCTTTACTTTTTGTTCTCTTTTTCTTATTTAACAACATTTAAATCCAGAGAACGTTTTTGCTTAGTGTCTTCTCTAAAGGAAGTATGCCATTTTTCCTTAACATGCCCTTGAATAGTTACTATATGTTGACCATAAACAATAGATGGCACTGGCCCAAAACATGGTTTGAAGAATTACTGTCATTCAGGTGGAAGAGACAGGAAATGAAGTTTTTCTTAGCAGCTATAAAATATCCAAAATTACACCTAGCACAGTCAAAACAACTCTGTTGCTACTAGCTCTACATTCCATGTTTAGCATGTCATAGAAACTCATTTTACTTACAGTTCATTAGTTAAATAGCATTTATGCCATAATAATACTTACTCTATAAGTTAACAATAGATCTTCATTAATTGTGGGTTTCACATGAAAGAAGCATAATAAAATGTGTTTGGGCAGGCCAGTCTAAATAGTGATAAAAAGATAGTTGTGAATAAATTATTGGAGCCTTTACCTAACTGGGCTGGAAATAATAGCTCATATAAAGAAATGCCAACAGTATGCAAGTGGTAACTTGTATAAAAAGAAAAAAAATAGTGAAATTAGTAGCTTTAAAATGTTACCCTCTTAAACTGAGTACTTTTAAAGCATATAAATCTTTAGCAGTTTCAAGGTCTGCTTGAAAGCTTGTCATGTTCTCAGAATGACAAATATTTATATTGTTTATTTTTAGGTGAGTCATTCTCAAATCATTATTTAATTTTCTTTTAACGTTTTCAGAGATAGCATTTTTTTTTAAATATGAGGTTTTATTTTGATTGGACAGTCAGTTCACTTTCTGCAGGGATTTTTTTATACAGTGTTGTTTATTTGAAGATGGTATATATCTTCATTTATACAGCTTTGCACAGTATACCTTTTATAATGAAATGAAGTAATGCATTTAGATACCTTATACAGCACCTGGATTATGGTTGAAAATCAATAAATTATGTAATTATTCAGGAAGAAATATGTAATATGTACAAATAGTATACAAACATACATAGGAGCCATGTATATGTAAAGTTGGGTACATAAAGTCATAATTTAGTCCTCTGAAAATTGAATAAATTTAAAATTACTTTGGTAAATGGCAGAGTTCATAATTAAGACTATTATTTTCTTTAAATTCAAGATTGTTGAAATAAAAGGGAAAATATATATTGAGTCTGAAAGTGAAATTACTGATTTTCTTGAGTATTTGCAAAGCTAAAGGCAACTAGGTTCAAGTCGACACTAAGAAAACTTTTTTGATTCATTGAGGATTTGAAGTACCAAGTTGTAGGGATCTTTTCATCTAAATCTTCTAGTAAATAAATGTAAACTGACACTGTTATGCCCAGTATTGTGCTGAATGCTGAGTTATCCTAAGAAGAGTCCTTGCCTTTGAGTAGCCTATAATCTAGTAGTAATATTATTTTTTAACTTGTGTGATATTTATGTTCATTCTAGGTACTGTAAAATAGAGTGAAAATGGTTATTTGATTTGATTTGTTGGTTTGGTTTGCAATTAATGCCTAAAGCTCATTCTGTAATTTTTTTGTGTGATCAAGTGACTGAAAGGTACAGCAAAAATATCCAAGTGTAAAATGGCTTTTTTCTGTATATTATCTGGGTAAACTTTTCTGCTTTCTCTATTTTTTTATTCTTATTCCTATCTCATTCTTAGTTCTAACCTTGCTCTTACCTCTTAATTCAGTCCTGACCTCAATTCTGAGTGTTCTCAATTTAGGTCAACATGGATTGTCCAACTTTAGATAAAGGTTATAATAAGGATAAAGAAAATTTGGAGAAACAGATGATACAGAAAGTATAAGAATCTTAGGGCAATTAAAATGTCAATTTTCTTTTAATAAAAACGTGCTTATGTTATTAAATGTACATTTGATAAATTTAATTCTTAAAACAATTTTTTTTTAAATAAGCAATTTGTAATTATGAATGTTTTCATTTTCTGAAAGAAGTGGATCAATTCTTGTAGCTTATTATTGCTATCTCCCAACTTCTTATTGTTTTTGAGTTTGTTTGGTAACTTACCTCACCAGAATTTAGGAAATTAATTCAAAGTAGTTTTTATTTTCTTTTTTATTTTGTTTTTCTGGAAGGGGGCGGGGTGCTACATTGGTACTTTATACCTCTTTTGTTCCCTATCTGCCAAAGGATGAAAAACCAACAACAAGTTCTATGCTGGACATGTGGATTGGTGAAACTGCTATTCCTTGTACTCCCAGTGTAGTGAAAGGAAAATCAAGAGCAAAAATCAGCTGCACAAAGTAAGTTAAGACTTTTCAGCTTTTCTGAAATTCAGTGAAGCAAATATTTTTTGATAATACTCCATTTTTGTTTTGTGAATATATCAAAATTTTTGTTAATAAAATTTCCACAGTTTTGATCTATCAAATTTTGGAGTTAAAATAATTGTAAGTGTTAAAATCTTAGAGCTTTAACATCAAAATATGTTAAATAACAGTTGGATATAATGTCTCAGAACATTTTTAATTATAATTTTTAAATCTTGTTTAATAGGTTAAAAACACAAAATCAAGAAGAAGAACTTATGAAACTGGCTAAACAATTTGATAAAAATATGGAAGAGCTAGATGTGATTCAAGAGCAAAACAAGAGGAATTATGATTTTACCCAGATGATTTCAGAAACAGAGATTTTAAGTAATCATAAAGATAATACACAGATGCAGTCATTACATAATATAGTTCCCGAAATAGATAATGCTACAAAAAAGAAGCCAATCAAAGGAAACACCAAGGTATCTGTGGCAAATAATCAAAATAGCAGTCAGAAGCCATTTGACCAAACTGCTGAAGCAGCCTTTAATGCTATTTTTGATGGTTCTACTCAGAAATGTAGCGGACAGTTAAGCCAAGAACTGCCAGAAGCTTTTTGGAGCACCAGTAATACTACCTTTGTAAAGACAAATGCTTTGAAAGAGGAGAAAATCATTACTAATGAAACTCTGGTCATTGAAAAACTGTCAAATAAAACCCCACGATCACTTTCTTCTCAAGTAGATACACCCATAATGACAAAATCATGTGTGACTTCCTGTACTAAGAAGCCAGAAACTTCTAAGAGGTACATTGATGCATTTACTACCAGTGATTTTGAGGATGATTGGGAAAATTTACTAGGTAATGAACCTTTTGCTATGCAAAATGTCGACATGCCTGAACTCTTCCCCTGTAAAACAGCCCAGGTTACTGGTCAAAAGGAAATTTGTACCTTTAATAGTAAAACTGTTAAAAATATGTCAAGAACAAATACAAGTCCAGATGCCAGGTTAGGAGATTCAAAAGTATTACAAGATTTTTCTTCAAAGATATGTGACAGAGAATTAATAGGTGCAGAATATAGATTTTCACCAAATCCAAATAAATCAAACAAATTATCATCCACTAGAAATAAAATGAAATTTGAGAACTCTTCCAATAAAATCGTTATTCAAGACAAAATTCAAGATTGTATACTTACATCTAATCTGACAAAAATAAAGGAAGATACTCTTACTAAATCTACTGTATATGCTTCTGAAAAGAAGTCAGCTTTGAACACAAGATATTCTAATGAGCAGAAAAATAAGTGCATTTTAAATCAAGCTGTTAAAGCCCCTGTTAATACTGATCTTTTTGGCTCTGCAAATCTAGGCAATGAAACCAGTGTTAGTAACCCAAATCAGACTAGTGCATCAAAATTAGGTTCTTTCTTTGATGATTGGAATGATCCCTCATTTGCCAATGAGATTATTAAAGCGTGTCATCAATTAGATAATACCTGGGAAGCAGATGATGTAGATGATGATTTGTTGTACCAAGCATGTGATGATATTGAAAGACTAACTCAGCAACAAGATATTAGAAAGGACAGTAAGACATCAGAAAGTATATGTGAGATCAATAATAATTCCGAACATGGAGCCAAAAACATGTTTACTATATCTAAACAAGGAAGTAATTTAGTACAATCAAAGCATTTGAATCCAGACAGCATTTCAGTGCAGACATCTTTGACAAATAGCTCACGAACAGATAAGCCAATGAAAATGGAGAAAGGGGAAATGTATGGAAATTCTCCAAGATTTTTAGGTGCCACAAATTTGACTATGTATTCTAAGATCTCAAACTGTCAGATAAATAATCTGCATGTGCCTTATACTAACACTGATGTTCCAATACAAGTGAATAGTTCCAAATTGGTTCTTTCGGGAAGTTCAAGTGTAACTTCAGATAATATGAATACAGAAATTGCTACTTACAAGAAGAAACTGAGTACTAAGCAGCTATGCCATAAGAGTATAACAGATGAATCTCAGAGCAACCATAACAAAACAGTTGGATTTTCAAAGTTTACATTTACAAGGATGAAAAATTCTCAGATTCTTTCTCAGTTTAATCAAAATTATATAACTGGAAGTATGTCTGATACCAAAATTACACAGGGTGTGGAGAAAAAGAAAAGTGTCAACCCATTGCTAGAGGAAGCTGTTGGACAGCAATCTTTGGTGAAACTTTCTGAATCTTTGAAACAATCTTCAAAAGGTATGTATGAAATATGAAATAGTTTTCTTTGAAAAGTATCTTAAAAAGTAGTAAAATAATTATTTGTTGTTTTTGAGTGTGAGTAATAATATATAAGGTAAAACTAACGTTTAACTAGAATTCTTAAAATGATAACTTGGAAATAATTATACTGCATTATACAAAGAGTAGTTGGTTTATTTTTCAAAAGATTACATTGAATTCTTTCCCAGCACTTAATACAATGACTGGCATATAGTAGGTACTCAGTAAATATTTTTTGAATGATTTATTAATTGTTTCTTGGAAAATCATACCTTTAGATAAATGTATTACAGTGTTCATTTTAAGATTGTATTTACTAAATTGTTTTAAAACTTGAGTAATCTTCTAGGAAGCAGATGATGGAGCAGTGAGGTAAATAATATTTAGAAATTTAGAGCATTCTAATTAAACATGTTTACTAGTGTGATATTTGATATAAATGTGCTAGTGGTGATGGTTAAAATTGTGATTTACTTATTTGATAACAGCTATCATTTCTGATTCTTCCAGTTCCTCTTTTCTCTAATTCTCCATTCTATCAATAAGTTTCATTGTTTCTATCTCAAAAACCCTGTATCCCCAAACTATCCATTTTTCTTTCTACAACAAGTTAACATTTCTTGACGAGACTACTGCAATTCTTTTATCTATCTCCTTTCAATTCTCATCTCCAAATAGTGGAATAGCCTTTTAAAATTGGATGGGCAAAAATGACGTTTCTATGCTTAAAACAACCTTCAGTGGCTGCCCATCATATTTCAGATAAAATCCAAACTGTATACTGTGAGCAACAAAGCTGTGGATTATCTCTCTTTAACCTGTGTCTCCTCTTTTTTCCTTACCTACTAAGCTTCAGCTATACCAGCTGTCTTTTAGTTTCTCGAACAGTTTATGTTTCTTCCTTGTCCAGGAACGTAGACCGTGCTCTTCCCTTTGACTAAAACTACTTCTTTTCAACATGTGACCCCTCCTCCACTCTTGTTGGTGCTTTCTTATATCTCAATATATTACTGCTTTCTCACAGAGGCCTTCCTTGAAGAGTCTCTAAATCTCCTTGTTTATTTTTTATTTCTTAATTGCTTTTATCACAAGTTGCAATTAAATTTTTAGTGACTGTTCTCTGTCTTGTTGGCATTACTGCTACAACTTTCCTATTTAAGTGACTTTTTTTAAATTTACAACAGTAATATGCTAGTTATTTAAAAAGAAAAGTAAAACAGTATAGAATAATTTGAAGTAAAACGTTAAGTCTTATGTTTCTCCTTTCTCATAACCATCCCTTAGGGAAAACCACTATTAATATTTTGGTATACATTATGTAGCATTTTCTATGCATATAAAAAGGTATGTGTGTGTGTATATACATATATATGTGTATACATATATATCTGCAGATTTATTTAAATATTAATAAATCTGTATACCCACTATTTGGCAACTTGCTTTTGCCTTAATATAGCTGTCTTTTCCTTTTAGTACATTTAAATTTATTTTAGTCCTGTTAATGACTAAGTGATATATATAGTGGATGTATCATAATTTAACTGTTTCTCTGTGATGGAAGTTTGGGTTGGTTGCAGTCTTTTGCAATTACAAACAATACTCCAGTAAATATCCTTCTACATAAATTTCTGCATGCTTGTATAATTATATCTGTTAATTCCTAAAAAATTGCTACAAGAGAAAGTTCTAAAATTTGATGGATACCACCAAATTTCTGTCTGAAGCAGTTATACCAATTTATCTTGTCAACACTGACAATAAATGATTCTCTACACCCAGGGTATCCAATCTTTTGGCTTCCCCAGGCCACATTGGAAGAATTATCTTGGACCACACATAAAATACACTGACACTCATAATAGCTGATGAACTAAAAAAAAAAAAAAAAAAAAAAAAAATCACAAAAAATCTCATAATATTTTAAGAAAGTTTATGAATTTGTGTTGGGCTGCATTCAAAGCCGTGTTGGGCTGCAGGTAGCCTGTGGGCTGCAGGTTGGATAGCTTTCTTTACATGATAGCCCAAACTAGATATTTTGAAATGTTAAAAATTGTTCTCAATCTATAGTAATTTTAAGTATTTAAATTTGTATTAAAGTGAGTATATTGTAACTAATTCAAGCATGTTCCCAACATGAATTTATTTACAGATAGAGTTGACCCTTGAACAATGGAGGGGTTACAGGCACTGATCTGATTTGTAGTCAGAAGTCTGTGTGTAACTTTTGATCCCCCAGAATCTTAACTGCTAATAGCCTGCTGTTGACCAGAAACCTTTCTGATAACAAGTAATTAATTAATGCATATTTTGTATGCTCTTATATGTATTATATACTGTATTCTTACCATAAGCTAGAGAAAGTGTTATTAAAATCATAAGGAAGAGAAAATAATATTTACTATTCATTAAGTGAAAGTGGATCATTATAAAGATCTTCATCTTCATAATCTTCATGTCTAGTAGGCCGAGAAGGAAGAAGAGTAAGAGTTGGTCTTGTTGTCTCAGGAGTGTCAGATGCAGAAAACAACCTACAAATGAGTGGACTTGCCAGTTCAAGCCCATGTTGTTCAAGGGTCAACTATAGTTATAATTCTATAAAGACTAAACCTCCTGGAGTATTTGAGTTTTCCCAAAACTCCTATCTACCAATCTGTCTGCATTTTTCATGGATAATCTGCCTTTTCGCTTATCTCATCAATATTTTCTTTAAGCTTATTGATAGTACTGAGTCTCTTAATTACTATTAACTTTGTTGATGTTTTCTATTGTTTCTACTTCCTTTTACTTTGTTATGTAGCAAGCTGCTCTCCAGGGAAGTATCTCTGAAACAAAACTCACTTAACTCCCTCATTGATTTCAGGCAGGAGCTGGCAAACTATGATCCCTCCAAATCCAGCCTGCAGCTTGTTTTATGTATAGCCAGCACACTAAAAATGATTTTTACATTTTAAATGGTTGGAAAAAAATCAAAAGGAGAATAATATTTCATGACGTTTGAAAATTATATGAAATCCAGATTTCATTGTCCATAAACAGGTTTTATTTGAACACAGCTCATCAGTTATTTATACATTTTCCATAACTATTTTTGCTACAATGGTACAGGTGAGCAGTTGCAACAAGGTACTCAAAGGTTAACATTCTTGCTTTCTGACTCTACAGGAGAAAAAAAAAAAAAATTACTGACCCTTGCACTGTAAGATCAAGGTTAAGAAGAGCAGCTTTTGCTTAGTACTTTACAATATTTTAAGACTTCATTGTGTATTTTTATTATAGACTGAGTTAAAGGAAGACTGATGAGAAAAATGGATGCGTCCCTAAATCAAATTTTCATGGTGTGACCTGATTATCATTTGAAATTATTTGCTATAATATTACCAAGCAAATTGTAAGAGCAACTTTAGGAAATTATATTTTCTGCTGTTGTAGATTATTAACCTGTTTTCACACAAATTCAGTGTAAAGTCTTTGTATGTGTAGTCTGAGTTTGTTGTGTTTCTCAGCTTTGATACTAAAGTATTAGATAATTAGTCATGCTAATTAGAAAGTATCTTCTGGTGTCTTTCTTTAGGGAAAAATAGCTACAGTCTGTTAGGTAAACAGCTTAGGAAATAAAAGCCATCAAAATCATCTGGGAAACTCCACTCAAAATATATATTTCTTAGGCTGAATACTCCCTCCCATTTTTGATTATACCAAGAAAGGAAAGGGAGGCAGATTATATGTTTTGGAAAATGCCTCTGTTAGTTAACAAGAGAAATGTCTCATAAATTGTGAATATTTTTCTAGATGTCAGAATAAATGATATTTCTCTTCTGTCAATATTACAGATTCTTCTTTCTTAAGCATATTTTACAACGTAGACAGTTTTAAGTTTACTTAAATATGTATTAGGGTGATAATCTTAAACTTAAAATATCATTTAATTGAGAAAGTGATTTCTAATACAAAGCTTCAACTTAATTGAGATTATTTTAAAGTTTCTCCAAAATGCATCCTCCAAATAAAAATATAATTTCTAACAGTGAATCACAGGAAACCAGTCTGACATGAGAGATTTCATTTAATCACTCTAAAATATATTTCCTCAGTGGATGAAATGAAAACTTTAAAGGGAAAAGTAGATGTGAATATTAATATAACATCTTATGTAAATATACACTATTTGAGATACTGATAGCTAATTTAATTCCTTATATTTTGACTATTTTTCTATTAAAGTGTATATAACATTTAAAATCCCAATGTATCCTTTTTAAAGATATATTTATTCATAGGTCATATAAATTAGATGTCATTGTCCACAAGAATTATTTGGTGGGTAGTCAGTTTTCTATCAAATTGGATTTTATCACACTGTGAAAAGAATGTATCAAATAGAGACAGATCCATCAGTGCTTGATTTTCTTTTGAACTGGGGCGTTATATCTGTATTATGTACTTGGAATTTTATATTTAGTAGTTTAGTTTAATAGCCAACTAATATGGCAAATCTAGGTGATTAAAAAAGCAAAAATTAAGGCACATGTTGAATGACTTTATAGGCTATAAAAGTAAACTCATCTTTTGTTGAATTTTTAGAGGAAGAAGAGAAAAATAGAAAGTGTTCTCCTGAAGAAATTCAGAGAAAAAGACAAGAAGCGCTGGTTCGGAGAATGGCTAAAGCACGAGCCTCATCTGTAAATGCAGCTCCCACTTCATTTCTTTAATGAAATATTGGAAGACTTCTTCACAAAGACTGCTGATAACTATCTGTGATAGGACATGTTTTTTTCTTGATTTCTCTGTGAGAAATGTAATGCTGACTTTTATAAAGCCTGGACTTCTACTTTATTTAATAAATCAATGTTTGCAATGGTAAATGAAACATTTCCTTGGACATGTATTTCAAAGTCATTACATATAAGTTTTAGAAATTCAGGAAAGTTAGCAATTATGTACAGATATTATACAGAGGAAAGTAGTTATATTTTTAAATGCTATTATTGCAGAGGATCATCAAAAAAGAGGTAATCTATGTTATTTCCTATTCTAATGTGTTTTCCTAATACAAAACTTCAACTTTCTAAGTTAGTAGAGACGATTTTTGTTGTTTTACTTTCATTAACTGTTGCTTAAGGTTTTTATACACTTCCAGATTTTAATTAATACTTTCATATTTCTAGGAGCATGGTTGATATGAAATAAAGGACTTTATTTGTAAGGAAATTATTTTCAGTTCTTAGAAGTAGATTTGAATTTTAATAATTCTAAAATGTGACACATTTTGGAAACTTTCCACCATATTTAGGAAAACTCTGATTTTAGAAGTCTAGCATAGAAGAAAAGAAGTAGTGAATTGTCTACAAAAGTAATGTGGCATCATTAACATTTAGAACTGGCAGAAACTTCATATGTCGTCTGGTCCAGCTTCCTTATTGTGTCGGTGAGAAAACGTAATACTGTTTTCAAAGTCGTAGGTAAGTTAATGCTGTGCTACAATTAGAATGATTACTTTGGACACCTAAACAATTATACCATTTGCTTCAAAGTATTAGTACATAAAATAACTTGAGGGATTGTTATTTTCTAGTATAAAACAAAAGATGTAATTAAAATACAAAAGATGTAATAAGGACTGTTTGATAATCTCATTTTTCCTTATTTTGCTTTAAAGAATTAGCCTTTCCAGGATGTAAAAATGATAATCTTTTTTCTTTTCACTTTTTCTGTAACTGTGTAATTTTTCCCTCAATTAATTTACTTACTTTACTAATCTTTTCTTCTCTATTACTGTTTTGTTTTTTCTTTTTTTGCCGTTTTGCCTATTTGGAATTTGCTAAACCAATAATAGAAGTCCAACTAGAGGGCGTAACGCAGGGAGGATGCTTTATTCCTCTTAAATGGTTTTAGGAGATCTAGGGAAAGTTAGAGATACGAAACACCTGTCATGGTGTGGCATTTATCACTATTCAGGTGTCTCAAAGCAGTGATAATATGGTAGTTACTGCCCTATAATTATGCAGATACTCCTTAACTCACCGTGGAGTTACGTCCCAATAAACCCATCACGAGTTGAAAATACCTTAAGTTAAAAATGCATTTACTACACTTAATCTACCCAACAACATAGCTTAGCCCAGCCTACCTTAAACATGCTCAAATCACTTATATTAGCCTAGAGTTGGGCAAATCTGGCAACATGATGCACTGTAGGGTATCAGTTGAACTGATGCCCAGCATTGTGAGAATGTTGTACCGCATATCTCTAGCATGGGAAAGAATCAAACTTTAAAGTATGATTTCTATTGAACACATATCACTTTTGCACCACCTTAGAGTTGAAAAATTTTAAGTCAACCATTTTAAGTTGGAGACTGTACATCGTAAATGGTATTTTCATATATACAGTGGAGTACTAGAGTTTAGCTAACCTATATTACTTTTCTAGGAATATATAATAACCTAGATAAATGCAAGTAGTTTCTATGTAAGAAAATAAAGAGTGGAGAATCTTTTACTAAAAGTGGCTTCACTGTGTTCTGACTATGCTTTGGATATCTCTGTCCTTGCTTAAGCTCCTCCCTGCTTACTGCTTGCTTTTTTAAGAGTACTTTTAGGCTATTCTGTTCATTCATTTAGACTCAGCCTAATAAGTGTATTTCTTTGAGTCTCGTACCTAACCATCTTCACTGGAATTGATTATTCTCTCTGATCATAATGGTACTGATTATTGTGTCTTTCACTGAACAATTCTATAATGCCTTACATATTGTTTAGTTGTATAAATCTTATTTTATAATTTGTCATTTTGTGTCTCTGGTAATTCTGCCAAATTCTTACATAGCCCATAGTATTAGTTACATAATAGTTTCCTCTAAGTGATTCCCTTTTATTTAAAAAAAAAAAAAAAAGAAAGAAAAGAAAAGAAAGAAAAGAAACTTTTATAGCACTTCTGGGTGGTGGCAGGTGTAGTAGCCCTATACATCTGAACCCGACATGACTGGTATTTAGGGTCACTGCTGCTGTTCATACCACTCTCCTTTCCTATCCTGATTCTTCCTTTCACCCTTGTTGGAAACATTAGGGGGTGAATGGCCCATAAATGAGCATACAGAGGGCTGTCTATATAGTTTGCCTGGCTTTACTCTTTCCTAGTCTGTAGGGAATCTCTCGAGACAGATTCCCTACAGGAATCTGAAGAAGGGACAACTGGTAGCCTGGCAATTTCTCCCTAAAGTTCTGCTGCTGTTTCTGCATCTCAGACTGATGCTAGTAATGCCATTATTTCCAAAAAGAGCCTGTTTAAAGTGGAGCTTATCTCTCATTAATCTTTTTCGGTTATAGACAGATGACCCTGATCCCAGGAACATTTGGGTTCCTTACTGCAGACAGTTGGTGGTATGCAGACATGTATCCTACCATGGGAAACACTGCCTTATATACTACCCTTTTATGACCAGGTTTTAAGTTACCAAGAACAGAGATACCTTACTCATTTCTGTCCACCTGATACTGATAGCCAGTGGTTACTCATTAAATGTTGAATGAATTTAGACAGAATCTGGTGGCAGAAATCCTGCCCTCCCCCACCTGAAACAATTTGACTCTGATTCTCTCAGTTTTAGGGTTGGGAAATGTTTCTAGGAACAATTTAAGCCTAGCACTAGCATTAAGTAATTATTTAGAATCTGACCATGGATTTCAGTTCTTGCCAGGAGTGATCATAATCACTTGTGGGATCCAAAAACAAAAACTAAACTTGTCCTCCTGCCTTCTCTTAGACCTCATAAATGAGTAGATGTAGGATTTTATTTCAGATGTGTCTTTTGAAAGCCCATTGGCTATAGCAGGTACTATTGAAAATAAATGTAATTGCTAGACTTATAACATTGCTAAATGGCGTCAACTGTATTTAATTTACTTCTCAAAACAACCATATAAAGTAATACTTTTACACCCATTTTACAAATAGGGAAAGTAATCAGATTGACTTTCTCAAAAATCCCACATTTAGAAGTTGGAACTAGAGTTTAAACCCAAATAATCTTAATACCAAATATTGTGATCTTAGCCACTGAATATACTATCATCTGGAAACAATAAGAACTAGTTACCTATGGAAATTATCAGGAGACAATTAGAGCATTTGAGGCATTTATGCCAAAAATACCATGACTATTCTGTAGGTCTTTTATAGCCCAGGAGAATACTTTTTCCAATCCCAATTTCTGTTATAGATGATTGCTGTACTTTATGTGTGTGGGTAGGTAGGTTTTGATTGTATTAGCCCATAAAGAGGTTATCTTTTTTCATTCAACTATTAAACAAAAGAATAGAGAATACATAAAATGCATAGCTACTTAAAAATGCCTTCATTTCACGTCATTATTTTAGTAACTTCTGGATGTTCTAGTTTTAAATCTATTGGGGAAAAATTAATTTCCTAGTCCAAGATGTAATGGCATACCTCAAGCTGCTAATAAAACTTCAATGCAAGTAGTAAAATTAAGGTTTCTGATTAGATGCACACTATATAGAGTACTGGTAATCAAACATTTTAAGTCCTAGGGCCTTTTTATACTCTTTAGTTGAGGACTCCAAAAAGGTTTTGCTTAAGGGGGTTTTATCTGTTTATATTTACCATATTAAAAGTCATATATTTATTAGTATATTTTAAAAGCCATTAGATGTTAACAAATGTGCCTGTTATGAAAAACATTTTTTAAAACAATATGGCAAAGAAAATAGCATTACTTTTTGGCAACTCTTTGATATCCGACTGTATAGAAGATACCTGCATTCTCACATATATTTCGCCATTTAATTTGTTAAAATTGTTATAGTTGAAGTATACAGAAAAGTTCAGTCTCATACAGATATGTAGTTGGGAAAGGATGAAGTATTGTGATCGTCTTTTCAGATGATTGTGGATATTCTTCTTTGATATTACACCAACACTCAAAAAGTAATTTCTTAAAAATTAGTTGCATTCCAAGATGCAATAACAAGGACCCATGTACTCTTCTTTCTGAAATAACCAAATTTTAAAAAGACAAACTACATGAAAAAGTGGACTTCAAGATACTGGACATCAGCGTAATTAGGAAAGTGGAAATATGGATCTACACAAAGGAATGATGAACATTGGAAATGATAAACACATGGGTAAATATACAAGTTTCAAAAAGTTATTATGTCTCTTTAAAAGATAATTGGCTGGTTAAACAATAATAATGTGGCATTTATAACATGTCAAAGTTAAGTACATGACAATAGCATAAAGGCCAGAAGGAAAATAATGAAAGAATAGACATTCCTTATTTTGCACTTCTGACATGCGTGAGGTTTGGTTACCTAACACTATTCCCCAAACAACACTGTTCAACTTTCTGTTAACACAAGTATATTATCTGTGAATAACTGCATGAAGTACAGACTTTACAGCTTCCTCAGTTCGCAAATCACTACCTAAATAACAGATGTGAATCATAAGTGACCAATCATGTCACTTCTATTCAAGGTCTGCTGTGATTGGTCACTGCACACCTGTAATTCATTACATACACAGCAAAGGTTGTAATTGTATGCCTCCTGAAAAACCCATGTGCTGTTTTATAAAGATGGATCTTTGAAAGGTGGAACTAACCAATAAAGATGAAAGTGTAGCAAAACAACAAAAAGCAATAACATCGAAAGTGAAATTCAAATCCAGCATGAATGGAGGTATGGGAAAAATAGCTGTTGATGGGAATGTTGGCACCTTTCAAGAATCTATGCAGTCAGAGTTGCTTAGTGAAGGTAAACAATATGAGTGGGGAAAGTGGTTGTGACTAAAACATTTAAGATGTCCCAGAGGAAATGACGTTGGCAAAAAACTTCACTTTGAATGGACTTTGGACTATTTCAAGACATTAAGAGTATAAATTTTAAAATATTGTAAGCTGAACCAAACTTGGAGTATAACTCATCATACCATGGAAAAGAGGGTCACCTTATATTGTAAGTTAATGAGAGGAAGAAAAAGGCAAGCATTGTTAAAACTACCTGATAAATTTTTTACACAAACAAAAAACTACTCAATATTTCTAATGTTTTATATTGTAAATATTAGCTTTTCTAGTTTTAATTTCTCAATACATTTACAACTGAAACAGAGGTTTTCATTTTTTGACAAACATTTTTAAAGGTCATGGAACAATTGTAAATTTTCCTATTGATTATTAAGATTGTTTCGAATGGTTTCAGTTTGTACAGTCATTTTTATGGTCCTGCATTCATGTGCAAGGCATGAACAGCCTGTATAATGTGGTCAACATCTTATACTATGCATAAAGTGGTATCACTTGAAGATAAGACTGATAAATTTAAAGTATATACTATAAATCCTAAAGCAACTACTAAAATAACAAAATAGAGTTATAACTAGTAGTCCAACACAGAAGATTAAATGAAATAATAAAAATCCTTAAAAAGGCAGGAAAAAGTAGGGAACAAGAACATGTGGAAGAAGTAGAAAACCAATATAAATATGAAGGAGTTAAACCTAACCATATCAATAATCATGTGGAATGGAAATGATCTAAACATTCCAATTAGAAGGCAGAGATTGGCAGATTGGATTTTAATAAAGGAGTACACAACTATATGGTGCCTACAAGAAGTACACTTTAAGGACACAGGTAGGTTAAAGTAAAAATGTGGCAAGGATTTGTCAGACTAATGCTAGTCAAAAGAAATCTTGACTGATTGTATTAAGATCATATAAATTTTATAGCAAATATTTCCAGAGAGGAAAGCCATGTCATAACAATAAAGTAGTCAATCAAGAGAACATAACTATCTCAAATATGTATGTACTCAACAGCTCAAAAATGCATGAAATAGACATTGATAGAAAAGAAAAGGACAAATCCACAATTACAGTCTGAGATTTGAATATGCCCTCTCATTAACTGAGAGAACAAATAAGCAGAACGTAAGCAAGGGTCAAATAGACTTGAGCAACACTATCAACCAACTTGATGTGAATAACAGAACACTCCACACCCAACAATAGAATACACATTCTTCTCATGGACACATGAAGCATTTATCAAGTTAGACCATATTCCAGACCACAAAATAATTCTCAGTTTTAAAGTACTCAAGTCATACAAAGAATGTTCTCTGCTGTCAGTGGAACTTTATTAGAAATTGATAACAAAATGATCCCTAGAAAATCCTTAAATATGTGGAAAGTACACATCTCTAAATCATCCATGAATAAAACTTTTTAAAAAATTAGGCATTTTGGTATGAATGAAAATAACACAACATAACAGAATGTGATGTACTGCTAAAGAAGTACTTAGGGGAAAATTTATAGCATTAAATACCTATCTGGAAAAATAAGATCCCAAAAAAAGGCCCCAAACTGCCTTCAGTCTAAGAAACTAGAAAAACAAAAGTGAATTAAAATTAATCAAAGCCAGGTGTGGTGGTACATACTTGTAATCCCAGCTATTCAGGAGGCTGAGGCACGAGGACTGATTGATCCCAGGAGTTTGAGGCCAGCCTGTGCAATATAGCATGACTCAATTTTAAAATAATAATCATAATAAATATGCAGAAGAAAGAAAACAAAGATCAAAGCTGATTTAATGAAATATAAAAAAGAAAAATGAATGACACAAAAAGTCTGTCATTTATTTTAAAAAGTTTTTTTAAAAAGACACAAATTACTAATATGAAGAACAAGAGAGGTGACATCACTGCAGATTGTACAGACTGTCCAGAAAAAATGATAAGAGAATATTATGAACAATCT